GCTCAATGTAACACTGTCTTTGCATCATGGGCTGATTCTGTGAGAACAGCACGATCTACAGGCCTGGCATATGTACTACAGCGTCTCCAGCGCTTTCGAACGGCAATGTCCGTGGCTGTCTCCTCCTGATTGGTGGAGTCGTTAAGAGAAAACAACGACTATAACCAAATAAACGTAACACGTCCTTTAACCAGACCCGGTGTCACAAGCCCTCTTGTCACTAGGGGTAACGCCAACGCCGTAACAACCCCGCCCAGAGCGACGATCGGTTACGAGAGGAGTAGACCAAGTAGAATCACCGGTTGCCTCATTGGTTTTGACCGCGCCGCAGGTCCAGCACTCTTTTACCACCTTTATCCGTGGTGTCCACCGTCTCACGGGTACCCCACTCTTTGTGTTGAGTAAACATTATACAGTAAGATCTTTCAGACTTAATGTAAAAAAAAATAATAGCACGCAATATATCGTACACGGTCGCATACATGACGTACGAACGTTGAGTACTAAGCTGCTGGCAAGGGGTAATCGTTTCGACGACTAAGCGGTTTAAGGAAGGGTACTGGAGTCGGTCATTAACGTTGAGCGCTAAATTCACCACTCTTCGTGGACACACATGACGGCATGAGGGTTGTATGTCTCCTTTCCCTCCTGTATTACGGTACGTCGACAGTTCGTTGTCCGCGAATAGGAGCCCTGAACCATACTAGTCCTGGTTTGTATATTATCCGACTGTGCAGAAGTGCGAAAACAACTCGCGGGCGCTCTGTCTCCGACTTTATAATGCAATCTTTAACTCTCAATACTAAAGTAAACGTAGGGTATAGCACGCGACAACTCGCTAACCCTTGCCACACAAAAAAACTTTTGTTCTCCTGTCTCTCTCGCTCTCGAGACTCGCCAACTCGCTTCGCTACCACCCAAACCAACACCCAGTTGTTTCTCGAATTTCTCACCAAAGAATTCCGCGTCAACAAACATTAGCTTACGTGCTAAGGGGCGGGTACGATACACGAAAACCAGAGACAGAGACACAATGACGATCAGACGACCAACGAGACTAATCGTCGGCGAGAGATTGGACCGTACCCTCAGCAGCTCCAGGTGCAACGGCAGAGTACAGACTCTACCTTCTGTTACGTGTGTGTGTGTGTGTGTGTGTGTCGTTACAGATGTTTTCGAGGTCGTGTGTGTGTGTGTGTGTGGAGTCACCATGAATCGAACTTAGCCTCCAGTCACACAAACCAGCGCTGCGAGTCGCGAGTCCAGACTGTCAGGGTGTAGCTCATTTAGACCCACGGAAACATCAGAGGCCGGGACCCCTGCTTTGGCAATTGAGAACCCCACTTAACCGAGTAAAGTCAAATCATAAAAAACAATAGACGGTCCCGCCATTGTTAGCGCTAACCGCACTAAGTTCAACCATCCCATAATTCCCGCGACTGGTCAAATTTACACGCCTGGACTAAGTGGTTATGTCTACGTAATAAAATCGGTCAAAGGAGTAAAGCGAGTTACATTCGTGACAGAACAGCGGTAGTACCCGACTAAGTCCCTCCTTGTACCCCGTGTAGATGTCCGACCGTATACATGATGTCCGCAGACGGTCGCGCAAAAGGGTTGCCCGTATACAGGCACCAGACAGAGGAGGACTAACCACCTCCAACCCGGGTTATCCGCGGGCATTTCGGCCGGTGAAGACGACTGCAGTATCTTAACCAAAAAGTTTGAGACCGTACGGTCAGACGATTAGCTACGCGCACGTCGGGGGAAAAAATCTTAACCCATACCTCCTTCTTCTCTCTCCCAAACACAAAAAGACTGGTTGAACCACTCAGGACGACCTTGTGGCCCCTGATTGTACAAGGTACGTTTTACGTGAAAACAGCAGAAAGAATCGGTACTTGGTTACACAGGGGCCACAAGGCCTTGGGTGGTTCACAGTCTTTTGTGTTTTGGGGAAGGAGGGAGAAAAGGAGGTAATTGGGTTAGGTTTTTTCCCCGACCCGTTGCCTAGCTATGTTGACTAGGCTCTAACTTGGTGAGATGCTGCAGTCGTCTGTCACGCGATCGGCGATNTAAAAAGGGGCTGCAACGGATCTGATACAGACTGATCCAGATTTTAACACTTCTATGACATCACAGAAGTGGAGCTACGGCAGAAGTGGCCAACTCCACCAATCAGGAGGAGACAGCCACGGACATTGCCGTTCGAAATCGCTGGAGACGCTGTAGTACATATGCCCGGCCTGTAGATGGTGCTGTTCTCACAGAATCAGCCCATGATGCAAAGACAGTGTTGAATTGAGCGAAATGAGGAATGGCTAAAATGCATGATCTGTTTGGTATTTTGATAAAAACTTTTGAAATAAAAAGTATAAATATGCCTTATATAGGTATGGTATGGTCCTACACTATATTATTCAAATATAGCATGATAGGTCCACTTTAATATCTTATAATCACATCATGCATAAAAGTAACCCGAGCAAATCACCCACTG